AATGATCTATGATGAATGCATATGGAGTGAATTCATGGATCGTTAGCAATGATACACCTTTTTTGTTAATTTTAGGCTATTTAGTGGTCACAGATGGACCCCTAGTTTACACATTTCCTTTTTGTGGCAAGAGTCCCAGTGTCTACAAACTTAATGATATAGTTAGTTGTATGCTAAATTCTGAATTAAAGTCATTTTTTAGGTTTTGCTTTGAATCACACACGAAAATTACAAGATATTGGAACCATGAGGGATCTTACAGATCTGTAAACAGCATGGCCCAATTTATAGTTTAGGATGCAGATAAGGCACCAACCACTCAGGTGGCTTCCCAAAGTTGAACATGTAAGCCTTCACATGTCCAGTGAACAGGAAATACCACATCCTTCCCTGAGAGCCCCTTCCCCTGATATGCCAGGGTCATCATGGTCACTTCCTTTTTTTAAAAAATATTTTATTTATTTATTTATTCATGAGAGACACAGAGAGAAGGCAGAGTCATAGGCAGAGGGAGAAGCAGTCTCCTCACAGGGAGCCCAATGTGAGACTTGATCCTGGAATTCCGGGATGATGCCCTGAACCAAAGGCAGACGCTCAACTGCTGAACCACCCAGGTATCCCATCATGGTCACTTCCATTTCTGCTTCTGGCGTCTCAGTAGAGATGTCCTCTTAAGGCCAGGGGATTCTGCTAACCCACAAGAGGCTGGTGGCTCCCAAGGAACTGCTAGTGTAGACTTTTGCATGGGCCACTACTCTTCTTGCAGGGGCCAGAGAGAAGATCCCCAGACCTCAGGAGTAAATTCCACCAGGAGTGGGTTCCAGGCAAAGTTGGTCTGGACCGCTATCCCTGTCCCTCCTTATGTTCCCTCACATAGCCACTTCTCTAGGACTCATATCTGCTACCTGATTCCTGGGCTTGGTCCAGTCCTCCTGTGCACTGATTTACAGCCTTCTTTTGAATTTCTAAGTCTATGCAGAGGCTAGGCTGGTGGTCCTATCTTTTCTCCTTGGTGGTGATTTTACCAGAGATGTCTTGTGGCCATTCCCTGATTCTGAGGTTTGCTCAGGGCAATCCCCAGCCCACTCTAACTAATTTTAATTTCTTAGACAAAGTGTTGGGGTCTTGATGCCTTTCCACCTTCACCCTCTATGAGTGTCTTGGGCTCCAAATACAAATTTGTCTACTTCCTACCAGCAATCTTCAGGCTTCAGATCTCAACACTTTCTGCCTCACACAGATATTAAATTTAATTTTATCCATCCATCTTACCGGAGATCATTTAAGTTTGGTCCCCTCATTTTAAAAATGAAGAAACTGAGGCACAGAGAAATTACTCACCCAGGGTCGCACACCTGGTTATGATAGACCACAGACAAGAATTCTTGCTTTCTAAATCATAATTCAGGGCTCTGTTATTTCTAATGAGATGTTTCTATACTGTGGGGTTTCTCTGGTGAATTTTGAAATGCTAAGCCACCTACTTTCCAGCATTCTTGGCCACATTCCATGCTGCCCAGATGAAATATGCTCAGACATGCTGCATACCTTTTTATTTACCTAGTAGTGATTTCCAGAGTCAAAACCAAACTGCTCATTACAATCAGCTGCTCTTTCGGAAAACCCAGATCATTATTCCCCTCCATTAGGATAGAATAATCAAGGGCTAGTGCTGAGCTCACACACTTGTTGCCCTAGAATGTGCTTTGCTGTGACCCAGTGACTCTAGAAAATACTTATGCTGCAGCCCAGCCTTTGGCACATATTTCCTCAGCTCCTCTGGACTCTCCATTGAGTCAAACCTTTTTGGGGTGTTTTTAATTCTGTCTCATTCAAAACATTGTCACTTGATGGACAGCTTAGGGAAGCAACTGGAAAGTCATTAGAGAAGTAGGAAATCATTTTGAAAAGCAATCTCAATCCACCAAGCTGTGGTTCTCCCAGGGCTGGAATCCTCATCTGTGGCCTGGAATTCTGGGCACAGGCCCATTCCTTAGGCTGATGACTATCTTTGGGTGGGATGTGTAGTTCGAGGGTAGACAGGTCATGGTGCGGGGAAGGGAAGGTAGTAGGAGTATTCATGGTTAGAAGTCCTTCTCCTAAGGAATTTTATTTCAAAAAGCCCAGAGTTTTGCTCTGTACTGTCAGGATATGAGTAGCTGACCTGCCCAGCAGTGGGTCAGACTGCCAGCCAGCATTTTGGCAGAATGCCATTCTACAAAGACAGCTTCCAGAAATTTCTGAAAAGTACCTTTTAAGAAATCATGTTTCCATCTTGATTTATATTTGTTGACATGCAGAGAAAACTTATTTCTCTGGGTTTACACCCATAATTTTACTAATGTGCAGAAATCCCACTCTCTGTTTTCCATATTGGATCACCTCTTTTTTAGAGAGAGGTTCTCAACTGCAGCAGCACATCATATCAACTGGGGAGCTTTTAGAAATCGCCAATGCCCTGGCCACACCTCAGAGCAATGAAATCATCCTCGCTGAGGGTGGGATCAATGCATCAGTACTTTTTAAAATTCTCAGATGATTCTGTTTAGGTTGAGAACCACTGTCTAAAATCTGCAGGCAACAATTTGCCTAAATGCTTAACTGTATGCTTTGTGAGGGTAGAAACTTGTTTGTATACTCTTGCTCATCTCTGACACTTCCAATACCTCCTGGCCCATGGGTAATAAGTATTTACTGATGGGATGAATTCATGCTTATTTTGAACTTCATATACATGTAGATAAATAAATGTTCTCCCTTTGGCATAGGGATAATGTTGCACATCTATAGTCATGGCACTACATCAGTAGTAAATGCTTCTATGTACTCTGATTCTTAAATTACAGGGTCATGAAAGATTTATGGTGCTTGAGGAGAAGCCTGATTTGCCAGGGCCATGGAGAAACCCAGGGGGATCAGCGCTGTGGTTATTTAACAGCTGGAATGAAAGTATTTTAATATTTTAATGTAGGTCCTCCTGTACTCATATATAAACAGGCCACGGCGTGGTTTAAGTTTTGGTCCTTCTGATATCAGAGATTTCCTAATCTCAAAACGTGTATGTGATTGTCCACTTGCTTCTCCTTACACTCCAGCCACACTGGCTTTCTCTGTGGGTTCAAGAAACCCTGTCAAATGCCTTCTTGCCTAAGGGTCTTTGCACTTGCTGTTCAGTCTGCTGGAACAGTCACCTGATGGGATGAGCTGCCAAATCACGTTGCAAAGGGCATGGAAGCAAAAATGGGAATGACAGCAGCCAGTTTGGCAAACAGTCTACCACATGGCCCCTTTAGGGAAATATTCAGTCTCTTAGATAAAATAGCACCTAAGATTTCTCTTCTTTGTCTGTCTCTTTTTCTCTGTGAGCATTCAAAAACATTCTGTTTTGGCTGCCAGGATGTGAATATTAGCTCTTTTTCTTTTTGTTTCTGCAATAAATCTAATTCTTTTTCCTGCCTTTACTGCTCCATACTATCCATCCACCTCCTTCCTGAGATAAATGTTTGATACTGGCAGAGGAGATGCTTCATATAAAAATACAAAGGAGAGATACACACTTATATGGCTTAAGATATTATTAAAGTTATAGAAGTTACTCATAATGGGTTCACTTCCTACACATTGTCCCATTTGATATTCGCAAGAGCTCATTTTACATAAGAAAACTGAGACCTCCAAGCGGTGGAAGAAACATTTACCTAGGGTAGAGCAGGATTTAACCTCTGGGCTGCCTGACTCCATAGCTCATGCTCTTCATCCTTACACTTGGTGTGCTTCTCTGTGAGATCATCACCTGTAAGGTGGTTCCCTTTATAAAGTTTTAAAATTCCTATTTGTTTGAAGCTTGTTTACTGCTGTAAAAAGTATGCACTAACGGCATACTGCACAGCTAAAATTTAAAAGAAGACAGCAAAAAGAAGCATGACACAGGGAGTGATTGAAATGACAAACAAATCACAGATGAATAATAGGAAAGCTTCCATACAGAAGGCTTTTATTAATCCAGGGAGGTGACAGTGATATTTCATCACAAGGCACAATCTAGCAAGAATGGACCACCAGGCTGAATTATATTGGAATATCTTTTCTTCATGATGGGCACATAAAGCAAGGGTACATATTATATGCATGATTATTTTTCTTTGAGTAGAGGCATATTTATGTGGTAAATTTCTCTTGAGGTATTGTATCCCATTTAGGCTTCTCACAAAACCATGGTTTCCTAGTCCTAAATTCAACATGGTTGAAAAAGATGTTTCTTCACAGCTTCTGTCATGTTTACTTTATCCTAAATTATTAATAGTTTCAATTTATTCCTAAGAAGTTACTATTTTACCCTCTAATTATTCAAGGGGAAAGATCTGAGTGAAAAATGTTAGGATTTGTGTTTTTTTTTTTCTCATACTATGCTGTTAAAAAATAATGTGGCCCCTGGACTAACAACATACACATCACCTGGGAAACTTGTTTGAAACACAAATTCTTGGGACTCACCCCAGGCCATCTGTGGTCTCCTAGAACTTTATAGTTTCAACTTTTTTTCATGAAGGTTTATAATTCATTGCATATTATATTTCTCCATATACTTATCTGGTTGTACCAGCATCATTTATTAAAAAGACTTTGTCCAAAATCAATTGATTCTAAACGTATGGTCTATTTATGGTCTCCCTAATCTGTTCCATTTATCTATTTGGTACCACACTGTCTTGTTTACTGTACCTTTACAATGAATCTTGAAATCAGCTGGATTAAGTCTCCAACATAGTTCTTTTTTTTCTCCATTTCCTTAGGTCATCTGCAATTTCTCTCAGCAATGCTTTGTGGGTTTTTGGTGCATAGGATTTGCATGTCTTTTGTTAAATTTATTCCTAAGTATTTTGTGTATGTAAATAAACCATCACTACTATCCATCTCCAGAACTCTTTTCATCTTCCCAAACTGAGATTCTGTACCCGTTAAATACTAACTCCTCTATTCTTTCCTTCCCTTACCCCTAGCAACCACCAGTCTACTTTCTGCCTCTATGAATGTGACTGCTCCAGGTGCCCCATATAATGGAATCATACAGTATTCATCCTTCTGTGACTGGCTTATTTCACTCTGCAAAATGTCTTCAAGGTTCACCCATGTTGCAGCATGTGTCAGAATTTCTTTCCTTTTTAAAGGCTGGATAATATTCTATATGTATATGCCATATTTTGTTTTTTTGTCTATCTATGGATTCTTGGGTTGATTCTACTTTTTGTTATTGTGAATAATGCTATGAACATAAGTGTACAAATATCTGTTTGAATCCCTGCTTTCAGTGCTTTTTAGTATATACTTAAAGTGTTATTTTTAAGACTCTGTTTTCCTGGGCCATCTGTGTGTCTCAGTCGTTGAGCATCTGCCTTTGGCTCAAGGCGTGATCCCTGGGTCCTGGGATCGAGTCCGACCTCAGGCTCCCCGCAGGGAGCCTGCTTCTCCCTCTGCCTATGTCTCTGCCTTTCTCTGTGTGTCTCTCATGAATAAATAAGACTCTGTTTTCCAAATGTTTGTTGGCAAAATATAGAAACACACTAATATAACACTGTATGTTAACTATGCTGGAATTAAAATTCAAAATAAAACAAAAAAAACAAAATATAGAAGTGCAATTGATTTTTGTATATTGATCTTATATCCTGTGACTTCGCTACATTCAATTATTAGTTCTACTAGTTGTTTAATAGATCCTTTACATTCTATGCATATAGTCTTGTTGACTGCAAATAAAGATAATTTTACTTCTTCCTTGCTAACTTTATGCTTTTTCCCTATCTTTTCTTGCTTTAATGCATGGTTAGGACCTTATGGATAATGTTTAGGAAAAGTAGTGAGAGAAGATATCCTTGCCTTGCTCCCAATCTTAGGGTGAAAGTGTTAAGTATTTCACCATTAGGGAAAACATTAGTTGCATGTTTTTTTTTTTCTTGGTGCCTTTTATCAGATAGAGGAAACTCCTTTCTATTTCTGCTTTGGTGGGAGTTTTTGTTTTTAAAACAGCTATACAGAGGTAGAGTCGATATACAAAAAACTGCATATGATTAATGTACATGCATACCTTGTGTATTGCATTTTGCTTCATTGTGCTTCAAAGATATTACATTTTTTATAAATTTAAGGTTTGTGGTAACCATGTGTCAAGCAAATCTATTGGTGCCATTTTTCCTTTTTTTTTTTTTTTTGGTGCTATTTTTCCAATAGTATTTTCTCATTTTGTGTTTTTGCGTCCCATTTTGGTAATTCTCATATCTCAAACTTTTCCCTTATTATTATATTTATACGGTGACCTGTGATTAGTGTTTACAACTCACTGAAGCTTAGATGATGGTTAGCATTTTTTAGCAATAAAGTATCCTTTAATTAAGGTATGTACATTGTTTTTTAGATATAATGTTTTTGCACACTTAATAGACTATAGTGTAAACATAACTATTATATACACTGGGAAACAAAAAAAAATCCATGTGACTAACTGTATTGTGATATTCACTTTATTGAAGTGGTTTGGAACTTAACCTGAAATATCTCTGAGGTATACCTGTATACAATTTGATGAGTCTGAACATATGCATACACCTGTGAAACTACAATCCAGGTAATAAACATATCCATCATCTCCAAAATTATCATACATGTACATTGAATTTTGCCAAATGCCTTTTCTGTGTGTACTGAAAAAAAAAATCACCAGCAAAGGACAATGAATTCTATGATTCAACTTGAAGTAAGGTGAAAATCCCAACTGCTTTGTGCATTTGGCTGCTTAAACAAAATTAAGATTTTATAAAGTAACAAGGAAGAGAAAATGGTGGTTGTGATGGCAACCAGCATTAATGTTCATAATACACACTTTGACTCAATTTTGGAATTTTGTGAAGCTTATATTTCAATAGAATTAATAGAATAACTTGCTACATTTGACATCTTGTTTTACCTATCCATCTTGCTCATGCAGTCAAACATGTCTTTCTAAAATACAGCTCTGCCCATTTCACAACTTTGCTCAAAAAGCTTGCTGGCTATCTGTCTCTACAGAACAAATTCCATAGCGTGGCATCCAATGCCTTCCTGGATTTGGCTCCTTGTTGTCTTTTCAGTTATATCCTTCAGTACACTTCTATCTGCCTATCACCCAATTCCTGTGTCTATCACTACTGGTAATGCCTTGCCCTCTGTATGTACTTCTCAATGCACTTATCTTTGGAGACCCAGCAATTACGGCCTCTTCCATGATGCCATCCACAGTATTTCCAGTTGCTATTGATCTCTGTTACCTCTGTGCTCTTATTGTACCTGTAATGCTCTCTTGCAGGATATTTAGTGGAAAATGTGTTTGGATTATGTTTTCCTACATTGTTTCATATAGGGACTGCAGATAATTACAGAAGCCACAAGTCCCTATTTGTAAGCCCATGGAAGGTATTACTAAATGATTACAGCATGATTTTCCACCAAACTTAAATGCACTTCAAGGCACCTCAGAACATTATTAATTTATTATAATTGCCTGGGGCAGTTATTACCAGTTGGTTAAGTGAAATCTGCATTCCATCTCTAGCTAAATTTATGACCTTGTTCATAACAAAAGCTCAATGCCTTGTTTAGTTAGTTGAATTTCACTGCATAGACTCCAAAGGTGATTTCTACCAAGGACTAAATTTATTTGGGAAAGGTAGAAAGCTAGAGGATTATAGCAGATCATAGTGCTGTAGTATTATAGCATGTGGAGTAGCTGGCCACATGGAAGAAATCTGTTAGTAAGAGTGACAAGCTCTTGCTGAAGGGAGGCCATGGGCTGTCAGACTGATTTTCTTTTCTTTTCAAGAAACTCACCAGGAGACCTTGTTATTTTCTTGGTTCAGAATCCAAGAATCAGATAAAGGTCTACATCAACTATATGTAAGGCCATGCCCTGGGAATCTCATGGGCCAAGGGGAGGAGTGAGAGGGTTTCCAAATGCCACAATCCATTTCATTACTGTGGGGCAAACTTTCATCAGACATGGCCATAAGTTTCCCTCTGGGAATGGCAGGTGTCTACAACAAATAGAACTCTTTAAATCAAAAAAACAAAAACAAAAAACTCTTTAAATCATACAGACATTAGTCTGACTAGTGTTCAAAAGTCAGTTTGGGAAAGGATAAAGTCATTAGGGATTTCCTTGAAGAGGTCAGTTTTGACTATTTGTCAGGTTCTTTGAAAACATTCTAAGGCTATACTGACCGATACAATGGCCATTAGCCATATTTGGTTTTTTAAATTTAAGTTAATTAAATTTAAGTAAAATTAAAACTTTAGTTGCTCAAACTAGCCACATTTTAAGTGCTCAACTAGCCACATGTGGCTAGTGGCTACCACATCAGACAGAGCAGATACAGAACATTTCTATCGTTGCAGAAAGTTCTAGTTACAGCACTGGTCTAAGACCACCTGCAAAAAACTTGAGCTCCTTTGCATTGTAGCTTAAAGTTTCTGCAGAAGTTTCAGCTTGTGTGGACCAATTATATTCTTTGATACTTCTATTATGTGTATCACGTAACTATTTTATTTATGTTTATTCACCTAAGTAAGTGCTTTTCTCTTCCAATGCCTTTCTGTTTAATGTCTCATTTGAGAAAAATATCAAGGAAATATTTATTCCCCATCGTTAGAGGCCTGTATGGTAAGCAAGATTCTATTATTTATCTTCTGTTGTTTCTTTATGGTGGTTAATATCTTCCCTGATCCCAATGAGTTCCGTTTTGCAACCCTCTGCCTGCTAAGTCGGCTATGTCCTGCATGGTTGTTTGAATTTAAATTACCTGCCGGTTTGCCTTACTAAGGGAGATGTAGCAAATTCAGTCATTAAAGGAAGGGACTATTGGGAAATAATGTGCCATAAGGTTCCATCTAGTCTGACATTTTTATTCTTGCCTCCTCTCCCACATTAAATAAAAGCTATTGTATATAGGGAGATGCATTAAAAATAGGCCACACAATACAATGTGGCTAAAGCTTTCACATTGGTTTTAAATGGGGTTCATTTGAAATGACTTTAATCTTGATTATGGGGGCTACTTGATAGAACATTCATTCTTTGTTACAACTCAAAGCTATATGTTTACTTCATTTATTCCTACGAAGATAAGATTAAATGTTTTTAAGATTTTTTCAGTAAGATGAAATATAAATAAACAGAACTAAAATGCACTGCGGGATAGGAGACAAAATCTAATCTTTATTTCTATTCCTATGGTTCCACAGATTATCATCTTCCCTTATAATTTCCTATTGAGTCACCTCTTTGAATAAGGTCTAGATTAGTGGCATAGTATTCATATTTTCTCTTTACCCACATGGTGCTGAGGCTAAAAGCTTGGTATTTATTTGGAAAAAATGAACCCAAACTTTCCCTTTCTGGTTCCATTGTTCAGAGACCCCTGTAGAGGGATGGTTAATCACAGGGCTGGGTTTGAATCCCAGCTCCAGGCTTCCTGATGATGTGGACCACAGAAGTTACTTAATATTGTATACTTCATCTTCTTCAACCTGAAGATGAGTTTGATTTCCAAACCTACATCATTGGATTTTCCATGAGATTTAATAAAAGCCCTTAAGACAGCACCATTATTTTTCACTTGGGCTTCAACTCTAAAGATCATTTTTCTGTGACTTTATTTTTTTTTAAGATTTTATTTATTTATCTGAGAGAGAGAGTAAAAGAGAGAGAGAGAGAGATCGTGAGTAGTAGGTGAAAGGCAGAAGGAGAAGCAGACTCTGCTGAGCATGGAGCCAAATGCAGACTTGATCCTAGGACCCTGGGGTCATGATCTGAGCCCAAGGTAGACACTTAACTGACTGAGCCACCCAGCCACCCTCTGTGACTTTAAACTTTTAAAATTGAAATGTAATTACAATGATTTGAGTGATTCTGTCTCGTCAAAATTCACATATTGAAATCCTAGTGTGTTAGGAGATGAGCCCTTTGGGAGGTGATTAGGTCATGAAGGGTTTGCCCTGGTGAATGAGATTAATGCCCTTATATAAGAGACTCCAGAGAGGGCTCCCTTGTCCCTTCCACTACATGAGGACACAGCCAGGAGTCAGCAATCTGTTACCCACAAAAACCCGACCATGCTGGCACCCTGATTGCACATCTAGCCTCCAGAACTGTGAGAAATAAATTTCTGTTGTTTATAAACTACCCAATCTGTGGTGTTCTGTAGCTAAGACAATAATTTATGTAGTGAAATGCACAAATCTTAAGTATACAGTTTGATGAGTTTGGGTAAATGCATACACCTTGTAACCCACTATCAAGACATAAGAGATTTCTATCTCC